ATCTGCGACCTTCCTCGGCATAACGCTACTTGGCATTCTGCGAACTTCCTCAGGCGTAATGCTACTTGGCATCTGCGACCTTCCTCAGGGCGTAACGCTATTGGCATTCTGCGACCTTCCTCAGGGCGTAATGCTACTTGGCATTCTGCGGACCTTCCTCAGGGCGTAACGACTACTTGCATTCTCGCGACCTTTCCTCAGGCGTAATGCTACTTGGCCATTCTGCGACGTCTCTCAGGCGAACGCACTTGGCATTCTGCGACCTTCCTCAGGGCGTAATGCTACTTGGCATTCTGCGACCTTCCTCAGGGAGTAATGCTACTTGGCATTCTGCGACCTTCCTCAGGGAGTAATGCTACTTGCATTCTGCGACGGCTTCCTTCAGGGCTAACGCTACTTGGGCCATTCTGCGACCTTCCTCAGGCGTAATGCTACTGGGCATTCTGCGACCTTCCTCAGGGCGTAATGCTTACTTGGCCATTCTGCGACCTTCCTCAGGGCTAATGCTACTTGGCATCTGCGACCTCCTCAGGGCGTAATGCACTTGGCATTACGTCGCACCTTCGCCAAGGACGCGGCGTCCGGCAGCCGTGTAACAATATAATAATCGAGCATGAATCTGCAGAGACGCGCTACCACCGTCGCCGTCTACTGGAGGCGGTCACGTCCTCGAGCGGGCGTACTCGTCTCGCAACGGCGCCCACTCAGCACGGGGCGGCGCGGCAGCGGCGCGCAGCACGGCGGGCGGCGCGGCGCGCCAGGCGCAGCGCGTGCGCGCGCGGCGTGCGGTGGTGCGGCAGCGCCGCCTCGGCCTGTGCGTCGCACGTGCAGCCGGCGGCGTGCACCAGCTCCCAGTCCACCACGTCGGGATCGTCCACGTAGGCCGCGCCCACGGCCCGCGCCAGCGCCCGCACCTGCGACGCCGATGCTACTATATAACGGTTCGTACACAATGCAAACGTAAACACAAGCATAACGCGTAGACGTAAACATTAACGGTAGTGATAGACGTACACGTAAGCTTCAGCGGCTCGAATCCATAAATTCTCGGCTAATCGGGAAGACGCGCGTCGTTGGCTGGGAACGGGACGTTTCGCCTGACACGTCGCAGGCTTCCTCAGGGCAGTGACCAAAGCCTGCGACACTGTGCTGCCCTGAGGAAGCCTGCGACAATGTCCGGCGAACGTCGGCCTCCAGCCAACGACGCGGCGTTCTCCGGATAGCCCGCGAATTTAAAGAAGTGATAGACTCAGTATTCACATAATGTCTAAATAAAGTAGACAATAATAGTTTTATTGGCTGTAGACATTCTAGTTTACTATTGGCTTGGGTTTGAGAATCGATTTCAAGGTATCGACTGTGTTCATTGGCCCATATGGCGTTCGTTCGTCTATCGACTTCGCTCCTCTTTCGATTCTCCATTTTGAGTTAGCGTACTGTGTACATTTCTTATGTCTTACTTAAGCATAAGCACAGAAGCTTGAAGCATGCAAGCTTTTGAGCTAACGTCTTACGTGTTATGCTTATGCGAACGCATCGTGAATGAGTCCGCTTATGGACTAACTTTTATGTTAACGCCATGCTTATGTTTATATTTGCATTGTGAATGGGCCTTAATAGTGACTATTCTGACGTATGAACCATGTCAGTCATCGGGAGTTTAGTTGCGACCACAAAGGTACTATTGTTCTATGGTAGCGACTATGGTGGAAAGAGAAGGGGGTGAGCTAGTCCGGCGCACAGATTTTTGCTCGTTCTGTGCAGCGCCAGTTTACGTCACGTGACCACAACACGGGCACTTCCTTTAAAAAGACAGAATATATGCTGGCCGCCATGTATAATATATACTGAATACCATACTATAGTGCAAGTTTTCTTGATATTCCATTGCGGGGGGTGCGGGGAGAGGAGGGCGCAGGGTACGTCACTGCTTAAAAATGCGTACCAACTGTGGGCATGAACTTAACTCGCCAAACAGTGCCACGATAAATGCTACGATTGTTTTTAAAGTACGAGGTGATTGTTGCCAGCATTGTAAATTGGGACGTGCCGTTCCGAGTCGAACCTAAGTATCTCAACGTGCCGTACTATTCAGCGCTGGATGAGAACTAGGGAGTTCATGTATCAATGAAACTGGCATTAAGTAACAGTCTTCAACGGTCAATATTTAAAAGAAATGTTTCATAAATCTGCTTCAATGACTTGTAACAGGGTGGTAATTTTGCTATCTGGCTGCATTTAAAATTCCCGCTAATACTCGTATTGTGACGCAAACCTATGCCTGAAGCTCATTGACTGAAGTCGGATTCGATGCGCAATAGCTCACCCATCTTTCCATCATTGTTGCAACTCTATTTTTGGTACTGAAACTCCCCATCGGATAACCGTGCCCCAGCTCATCAAACTTCAGATGTCACTACAATTAAATCGAAGAAATTGGGTGATGGCCATGTCAGGGCCGGATTTCGGTAGTGCGGCTCCCGCACGCACAAAATGACCCTGGAGACCCTCTCCAGAAGAAAAAATCATCCAGATTTACTAAAGAAAACGTAAATTATAGTGTAATAAATGTTTGTGCATATATACAAACAAAAATATAGTCATTATTTAGAAAGGGCGGATTTACAAATTGTTTTTGTCAGAATTATGTGAATACTCTGATAAGTTTTTCCAGTATTACAGAATGACAAAAAAGTTTTGACGATTGTCAGACTTAAAAAAATGGCGTAATTAGGAAAGAAAATTAACAAAACAACACAAGCCGTCCGCATAATTGCGACGAAACTCCGCAACTTGGTGTAACTTACAAGTGGACAGTGAAAGTTTTCATCGTCCTTTGAGATAGATGTTATGTAGATAGATGTTAACACCCATACTATTTTCAACTCAATTGCCTGTTACTTCACTCACCTGTTCTATTCTCGGGGATTCAGGATTGGGATAACCGTCCAAGTTGCGGTGCTTGTGCATGTAACGAAAGATTTCCTCGAGTTCCTCCAACTGAGAGGAACGCCGTTTCTGGAAAGCTCGGATCTCCTCTTCCGGAGCGTCCGCCGCAGGCAACTGGAAATCGTAGATGGCGTGCAGTCGCGTGTACAGGTCGGCGGCCGGTAGCATGCTCAAGAAAGGGTTGAGTGTGCTGAAGAAGTCGAGGTCCACATCCAACACGAGGCCGCCGTTCTCGGAAGCGCGCCGACGCAAAATGTCAGCCAACGCCTCCGCTTCCACCTGTTCTGCCTTCTTCACTTCCGCTTCCGAAGCGTCGCTGAGACAAGCGCCGAAAGTTATCACGTCCAACGTCACCTCGCGAGCGTTCTCCAGATCTTCCTTCGAGGCCCACAGCGCCTCGCTCAAGAAATATGGCAAGGTGGATGTGACTTTGATGTCGCTCGATGCGCGGTCTCGGCCAACGAAAAAACTGTACGAACCTTGGGGTATCTGATGAGCCCAAGGCGGTTTTACCCAAACTAAAGATGAAAAGTGCCCGGCATATGCCGCGGGTATTATCCAGTTTTCGATGCTCAGGTGGCTGAAAAGTTCATATTTATCCCACACGGCATCTGCTGGCATTCCTTTCGGAATCCCCATATCCGGATGCGAGTCGAGATGAATCAGTGTATTATTCTCTAACGAAAGATGTTTAGATCCTATACATCTATAAATAAATGGAAGGACGTCGTTGTGATAATCGACAACATATATGGGTATTTCTTTGAAGTTCCTCGAACGAACAGTACACACATCGTTGGAACTTGTTGCCATCTTTCAAATATATGCGATTCAATTATTCTCAGTACTGTCCCATGTACTGCTTTGAAAAACCGCCGATAACACCACACACACACACACACACACGCGTTGTGTTAACATCGGCACTCCTTACATCACACTGATAATACCATATTCCACGTTCAGATGCAGTACTCCAACCGTGTTTCTTAATGACCACTATCTTGCAATGTGGCTTGCACTGAAGCTCAGAGGGATTCTAAAATCTTCATGATCACATCAGCGCATAAGGTTATGCACAGTATATGCATGTTCCGACGTGGTGAACGGTGGTGAGATCCGGTACGATCCACTGTGTGATGTTTGCTAGTGTTTGGAATCGTGATTAATCGAAAAGAGTCGAAGTTCGCGTGGTGGGCTAGTTTGTGGGTTGTAGTTATTAATGTTTTTGCTTAATTGAATTTTAAAGCTTCTAATGCGAATATGGCTATTAGAAATCTCCGTTCGTTGTTATTGATGAATTCTGGACGAGCGGCTGTTCTTTCCAAACACGGAACGTTTATTGTGAGTGCCTAATGGCTGAGAGTTTTTAAGAGGTTATGTTCGCATTATTATAATTCGTTTGTATTATTTCAGCTTGAATATGTTCCTGTTTTGGGCTCTGTTAATAATGTCAGACATCATCATATTGCATCCTCGAGGAGGAATCATGGAGTGACAATGAATATTTTGAGGCCACCTCACATTTTTAAAGGAACTAGTAATGTGAAGGGAAAACATTTTCTAAGTTTTTCTGATGCTAGATTAGCAAGTACATTTGTTGTGGAAGCACCAGGAAAGTTATCAGATGCCGTATCTGGACAAGAACCAGCTGTTGCGGGCTCTGTGACTACATCAAGTGTAGTAACTGACCCTATACCTGAGCCACCTTCTATACCTTCTGTGGAAGCAACTACAGATGCTATAAATTCTGCATCAGAAACTTCATTTGCTTCTCTGGGCTTAGGAGGATGGACTCCAGTTGGCATAGTGGAGAACTGTATGGAATTCCTTCATGTTGATTGTGGAATTCCATGGTGGGCTTCTATTGCACTAGGTAAGAAATTAATAGTAACTTTATGTTTACAGTTTTAAACTTGAATTTTTCACTGTTTGTATGATGTTTCAACGTTTTTCATTGGCCATTGTCACGTTAAATAGAATTATTTAACATTGACTCATAATTACATCTCGCCCAATGATTCAAGTCATACTTGATGTTTTATTTCTGTTGTTGATTCTGGTAACTAGGTGCAATACTGTTTTGAAGTAAATAAATGGGCAAGAGAATACTGTGTCCAGAGCTCTGCAATTTTCTGAATAATGCTGTCATCGAAATGCTATTTTAGATTGTTCGCAGTTTATACTGGCTACATTATTTGTTGATGTTCTTTAACTTTGTTGTTTTGATATCACATCACACTCTTACTGAAAAAGTTGATGAATATACAGAAATATAGTTATGAACACTTAATGAAATCCTGGAATATTTATATTACAAGATTATATAATGTATATTACAAGAATTTGCAATTTCCATTTTCTCGCTTTTCCAGAACACTGTTGTAAAGCAAAAAACCTTTTTTCAAGAAGAGAGCACAACGTATTTTTCTCACAACTTCATTTGCTTCCTGTTAATTGATAAGTAATATTGACTTGCATTCAAGAAATTGTTTATTTCTTGGCTTTCTTAATTTATTAAAAAGGATTTCTGAATTTTTGAGCATTTTCGTTTCATAAAAATCAATGGCAATTCTCTTCTGTAGAATAGTGAAGCTTTCTGTATCAAGTGACAATTGATATGTCAGATTTCACGTAAAAATGATTATTTGAAATTATTTGACTTATAATTTCAATTTTTTGGGGTTTAGTATCTCAGAAAAGCAACAATTTGTTGTCCTTGTTGCTTGTACAATATATAATGAATTCCTAACATCATGTTAGGTTAAGATGGATCTTTGCATTTTGTTTTATTCATTTGTCACAGAAAGTAACCAATCATTCTCTGGACAACTTGTTCTAGATTTTGTAAATGCTAATGTAGCATTTTTACTATCTTGTTTTACAAATGTAGCATTTCATTAGAATTTTGTATAATAATTTGGTTGTAAACATTTACATTTTAATTTCATTAATATCATGAACAAGTGATTGTCATTTGTAAAAAAAAATAAATGTTTGACTGATATTTTTCATACATAAGCCCAAAATAATTTGAAGACATTTTGTTTCAAACTAGTATAGGCATTGTAATTTTCTTCCTGTGAAGATAGACAATATTAAATAGCAAGTAATATTCTTTTTTAACAGGTTTTTTTAAAAATCTTCCCTTGTATTAAACGTATTGCAAATTATTGATAATGAATTCCCTTACTGTTTTTGAGTCAAATTTAATTGTAGTTTAATTCAATTTCAGGCACTCTAGTTGTACGGGTATTGCTGTTTCCTGTTGTGATTGCATCTCAGAGGAATGCTGCTAAAATGAATAATAATTTACCTCAAATGCAAGTTCTTCAATTGAGAATGACTGAAGCTCGACAGACAGGCAATCACATTGAAGGTAATACTTTTGCTAATTTTATGTAATTCTTTGGTTAGGGTCAAACATTGTAACTTCAATAGCATTCTTGCTCAGTCATTCCACAGAGTGTAATTATAACTTGTTAAGATTTGATTTTACTGTCACATTTGAGTTTGTAATGGTCCCATCTGATCATCATATTTGATAATGTTTTGAAAAATCCTAGAAATGCATTGTTGTGTTATAGAATGTTTCAGAGTTGTTTGAAGGAACATCTATTTATGTTATTTTTTTATTTTTATTTTTTCTTATGAAAAGAGAAGAAAAAATCATTTTTTTTATATGTATTTGGAAGAGATGGATTGGTCTTGAAGATTAATTAAAAATTTTAAATCACTGTTTTTTTATTAATGTTAATTTTGAATTTATTTTAATGAATGGTCAGGTTGATATAAAACATAACCAATGTTTAGATCAATTCACAATGTTGAGGATAGTAGGTCAGTGAATTACAATATTAACCCATCTTCTCATTTTATTTTTCTTCAATTACTGTAAGTAAAATAGTTGTTAGTGATTAAATCATACCATAATATCTGCTGTTGTACTACTTTAAAACAATAAATTCAAGTGAGCAATATTTATTAACTGAGGATAATATTAAATATTGGTCATTTGAGATCAACGTTTTTGGGAGAGGACTTTCTTGTTAAAATGGTTTTATTTTTCTGATTTAAATAAATGAGCTGTTTTATGTATCTGATTACTGTTAGTGGAAAAAATTATACGAGTTTTGTTACATACAATTTATTATTGAGTCATTCCATGTCAAATCACACTCCCGCAAAACATCACTATTTTTTCGTGACTTAAAACATTTTTTATGAGACCTAGGGTTGAAAATAGCTGACTCTTCTTTTCCCCCCTGATCCCACCCCTTTGAGAAATATTACCAATTATTTATTCCGAAAAATCATGCAATTGCTAAGGTTTAAAAAAATGTATTTAAATATTTAAATTATAACGAAATTTTTAAAATGACAATTTTTACGTTAGGTCAACACTTCAATTAATTGTAAAAAATTCTTGTGTATTTCTACACTAATGTTGTATAGCATAGGTCTAAATTTCATAGTGGAACACAACGTAAATAACATTTAAAAAATAGTTTCTTCATTGGAGCAAATGGGCATGTTATAAATCACAGAAACACACATACACTCTCAATTGGATGTCTTCTGACAAAATGTGACTATTAAGTTTATTTATAAACAACAGGCTCTGCTAGGATCTACATGAAACAGGGCAGCCTGCTTTCTCTGACAGACTGAGTCAGTTGTGTAAACAGAGGAATCCGCTAAACATGTGCGTTGTTCTGTGAAATTATAAGAGTTGGGCAAAATACTTGAAAAAAAGTATTTCAGATACAAAATACTCTCTGAAAAGCATTTTAGATACAAATATATATGTTACAATATTACAAGAATTTGCAATTTGCATTTTCTCGCTTTTCCAGAATACTGTTGTAAAGCAATAAACCTTTTTTGAAGAATAGAGCACAATTTATTTTTCTTGCAACTTCATTTGCTTCCTGTTAATTGATAAGTAATATTGACTTGCAATTTCTATCAAAATATTGTTTAATTCTTGGTTTTCTTAATTTGTTATGAAGGATTTTTGAATTTTTGAGCTTTTTCATTTCATAAAAATAAATGGCAATTCTTTTCTAAGGAATACTTTTGAAAATACAAAATACAACCAATTGTGATCCAGTTTTATAATTTAAATCACAAAATGTTTGATTTACAATTTTGTATAATTGGACATGTTTCCCTTCAAGTCTACTAGATTTTAAAATGTTGTATCACTAATATTTCTTCTTGTAATTGTAATTGATAAGGGTCTCATTCCATTAACATTGTATTCTATGACAAGATCATCAAACTTTATTTGATCGTGTCCTTTTTTCTGTGTATTAAAGAAACAAGATGTTAAGTTTGTTTGTTTTAACTTCGTGGCATTAGTATTGTAATGATTCTAATTTGAATAATTCTTCAATGAAATAAATTCACTAATAAGAACAAGAGTTAGAAATATTCATTTATTTACCTTGGGTCGATGATACTACCTACATGTAGATTTTTAAATGGTAACATACCGTTCAATTAAATTTAAGAAAACATTTTCAAATTTCAAGTCAAAAAACAAACATTTATCCATAATATCAATAATAACTAGGAAACAGTAAATAACTAGTAGTGCTAAAACAGCCCACACTTTTTTGCTATTAGTAATGGTTCTGTAATACTATTTACACCACAATTTCTCTCCAATTTAACATGTCTCAATCATCATCGAAATCATAGAACATTTGGTGCATATATTTCCAGGCAATAGATTTTTTATTGGAACCTTTAAATGAAAATATCTTACTGGCATTGAATTCGTTGAAAAAGGTGTGCAGAGTATTCATAAACATAAATGAAGAGTTATTAGCCCTATTCTGCGAGAAAATAAAATTATTAAAAGTTAATACATAATACGATACTGAAAGCATTGGCAAACAAATGGAAATAGATCGAAAAACTCTCTCGACTGTGATATTCCTATACGAGCGAGGAACGAGTGAGTATCGCAAACGTCAGAAGAGTGTATTAATACCCTTTACATTGAGTTTCATACTTTTTCTACGACTTAAATTTTTACATTGAATCTTTCGTGTCAGTTGACATGCAGGTTTCAGCCAAGGCCACCTACCAGACAGCTACCCTACCTGCTGCAGGTGGCTTCGTAGTTTATTAGTCCACCTGTGAGAGACTACAAAAATTGCAGCAATAATCCCGAGGTTACCTTTTTCAATTTTTCTCTTAATTCTGGTCATGACAACTCAACCTCTGATTCACTAGACATTTTAAACTTGAGAATTGGGCAGTTTTTAAGAGCAACCACACAGCACTTGCGATCTGATCTTAACGTCAGTTAAATGTTCCGTCTACCACTACCACTGTGCTAGTCAAAAAGGATCTAAGGGAAATTATGATCCTATTTATTTTAATTAATATTCCATGTAAAATTACTAATAAAAGAAATTTAAACTGACAGTAATACAGCATTAAATGCAATTTTAATGTACACAATCAAACAAATCATTTACTAGAACAATTCTTCATGATTAATTGTCAGTACTTGGTTTGTAAACTTCTTCGTGATTGGTGTATCACAATCAGTATCATTATGCCGTGGGGTGTAGCCATCACATGAGATAATTATACAATGGGAGTAGAAAAAATTCAATAATTGATTTCTCAAAGTGCCTCTGAAATTTAATTATCTTTGGTTAACAGTAATTTTGAGTTATCAAAAACATTATTTTAAATTCTGCTGCAGGGAATGAAAATATTCTCGGTAAAAAAACTAGCCTTCAATCCTGACCAGAACCTGTTAATTTACCCAGGAAGTTATTTAAGTGGGCTGATGATAATGTGAAAAACATTACCTTTATATTTTTAGCCCTGCTGAACAATACTTAGAAAGAGGACTATTGCAACAGTGATATAATAGAAAAAGCAGTAGAAGGCACAAAGAAAATACATAGTTCATTTGTTTATGAAAAGATACATTAACAATATTGTCTGTAAAGTGAAGTAAAACAAATATCAATTTTATTAATTGTAACGCATACTCTTATTTGTATAAATATTCCATCTGTTTAATACTGAATTTAATTCTTTTAGCACTTATTAATTTGAATTTAATCAGCTATGGAGGTCATATGTACATATCTCACACATAGTAAGATGTGAAGGGATACTTCTATTTATTGCTCTATGAAAGTATATTGATGGTAATCGTCTACTGCTGATTGGCACATACTTGAGGGGTGACGCTCTAGTACACTGCGCAGTAAAACAGCAAGTAGACATTTCTATTGCATTCAGTTTCTCAGAATCATCTTGGTGTCTCACTTTATATCTTATCAGACTTATGTAGAATTTTTCAGAGATTACAGTGGTAATTTTTTCAAATTTTTAAACTGCCAAGAGTTGGGAGAAATTAAAGAAATAAAAATAAAATAGGTCAAAAAATTATTAATTTTTAAATTAATGAATTCTCTACATATATCAAATGAAAGAGTATCTTTTGTTCTTTAATGTCGCACTTTATTGAATTTCTGCCACTATTACAACACAAGTCAAAAATGATTAACTGTAACAAAACTATCACTTTTTGAAAATTTTGAAAATTAATATAACATTTAAAAATAATATTTGGAAAAAAATGAAAAACACATCTTACATATTTGCTTATACTCTTCACAGAAAAAAAAAAAAGTTAAAAAATCTGGGACATCAAGGCCAAATTTTCCTCGAATTTGTGCAGTGCAATTTCACGTGGAATGACCCTATTATGAGGTTTTCTCCTTCCTGAAACAAATGGATTATTCAATATCAGCGATTGTTTTGAAATTTAGTACAGAATTTTGGCAGTCTTAAGTGGTCTTCATACATTGTTTTAAAGAAAATGTTTGCTGACAAACATTTTTGTTTACATTGTATCCAATTGTATATTCAAGAAGTAAAACACTTGTTGTACCCAGTTGGAGTAGGGACTGTGGTGTTGTTATTTTTTTGTGAGACAAAAACATGAACAGTTCATTGCAAAATTTTTTCGGTAGTCCGTTACTAGCTCCATTCAAATAATACAAGACCAGATTTGAAAGAACAGTTGAAACAAAAATTACATTGATCTCACCAACAATTTTGTAGATTATCTCTGCTGCTCTTTACTTAGTCCTCAATTAACATAAAATTTATTTCAACTGTTTTATCTTCAGAATATTGAAACATCATTAGCTTCTATGAATTTCCCAGTTTACTTGTGACTATGCTAATTATATTGATGAATAAGTGCTTCATTATATGCATAGCTTTAGTTATAATAATTTTCATCCAATTATAAAAGTTCTAAATTTATATTAATGGAAATTTCAAATTTTCAGCTGCTCGATATGCACAGGAGCTAATGCTATTCATGAAAGAAAAGAAATTAAATCCCTTAAAGAACATGCTTGTGCCTTTAGCTCAGGTAAGTTGCATTGGAGATGACTAATATTTCAAAGTTTTTCATTTATTTTGAACATTGTATAAATATACATTCAATTTGAAGCTGGTATATGATAGTTTGCAGGTAAATACGGACTTCTGGAATATTTTTAATTCTGTTCTATTTGTTTATAGGCTCCTATTTTTATATCATTTTTCATGGCTTTAAGGGGAATGGCCAATATTCCAATACCAGACATGGTGACTGGTGGATTGTGGTGGTTCACTGATTTGTCGATGCCAGATCAATATTTTCTCTTACCTCTTCTGACAAGTGCAACTCTCTATGTAACAATTGAAGTTGGTACTGATTCTGCTCGTCTCAATTCACAGAACATGCATGTGATGAAATATGTACTGAGGGCTCTGCCAATATGCATATTTCCTTTCACAGTCAACTTCCCTGGAGTAAGTATTGAAAAATTAAACTTCAAACCCATTCAATAGAACCATATTTAAACAGTATCATATTAACCATTATTTGTAGCAGTTTTTTGTTCAGAGGAAAAAAATTCCCTAATGGAAAGAATTTTGAAATATCAGAAGCAGACACCCATACACCCTCGCATACTTGTGCTGGAATTACCATTAACAGAACAGTCGGATGATTCTTTCTTTGTGTCTGTATAGGTATGTCATTTCCGAGTAAACATGCTTAACGAAGTGTAAAGACTTCCCATTGCATCACATCTTTTGAGTATCTGGGGAATGGAGGAAATAGCAAAAAACTATGAAAGTAGCACTTTTTTGTTTGATATTATTGAGGGATATTAAATTTCATCAGGCAAATATCAAATTTTACACTACAAAGCCAAGAATACTGCTCTACATAGAAAGAGGGTCAAAATGTCAACTTAAAAAAAATTGTTCTTATTAATTTATGTATTTTGTTGGCACTTGAGGGTTTAGAAGTTTCAAATACATATTTTGCTTTTTGAGGGTACTTTACATGAAGCCTCAAAACTGTTTTCAAAATTTTCTCAAATATAGCTCAAAATCTTTTGATTAAACTTTGTCCTTGAATAGCATGAAGAATGCATGTCTCAAGTTTGTGAAAATTCCAAGTTTTTTGAAAATTGCAAATGTGCAATTTTTTGTGGGGTGGCATCTTCCTACAACTGTAAAGACATCTTGACATACAGCATCTTCAATTTTTTTTTTTTAATTTGAGTTTTCATCAATTTTTATGTCATCATGAGTTTTTAGTTTGTAATTTTGCACAAGATGTAGGCAATTTTAATTTCTTTTTTTAACAACTTTCTTTCAATATATATATATTTTTTAATATTTCCTTTTTTCTTTAAATTTTGTCCTTATAAGTAATTGAGGGATAGTAAAAAATATGGTGCTACTCCCATTTTCTGCAAACTCTGCTTTTCGTTCATGTTTCAAAACTACAAAATTGAAGATAGAGAGAGAACCTTAAACAAACTTTGTTGTGAAAAATCAGCTCTTTAAAAAAGATCATGCATAATTTTTTGAAAGAACTTGTAATTTAGTGTTGCAGATTTCACATAATTTGTTTGAAATTCATGAAATTTCTAAAATCAATTTCTCAGAAAGCGTTCCAGAGGTTTTCTTCAAACTTTTCAGATAGAAGGGCCACTTAAAAGCATGGCACATGCCTTATTTTTATGAACTCTGAATTTTTGAAACATGTAAATATAGAAGTAATGTGAGAAAGTATGTACTGTTGTAGCTCCACTGGTTGAACATTGGAAGTAAAATGTTTTTCTGGAGGTATAAAACTAGTAATTTCAATCAAGTTTTGGAAAAGTGTCTTGTGAGACCATCTCCCAAATTTATGAAATTTTGTATGCTGAGTCCCAAAGGTCTCAAAGGAACTTCTTTGGAGTTGTAACTTCATAGGTTGAATAGTTTTTGAGAAATAGCATTTTTTTTTACCCCATGCAATGTCATTGCATAATACCATTAAATTTTGATAACTCGGGAAACAATATTTCTTACTTTATTATTACTAAGCAAAAAACATAACTTAAACAACTTTTCTTGCTGTATTCAATGGAACTAGTATTAAATTTTCACTTATTAATAAACATTGGGTAAATTGCAACAAAAGAAAATTTCTACCTTTCTTGATTCAAAAGTCCCTTATTATTGGTAGGAATGCAGACTGATTGTGTTCGTGTTCGCCTTGGTGTGTGAGTGTGCATGCTTGTGGCCTCATTTTTGAATCCACCAAGGGGCACAGGTGTTCTAAAACGAGCTCTATATATGTGTCTACGTACTTTATTTATATGTATATCACTTTTCTTACAAACTATTTGTCGACATCAATGTACAAATCAGCCCAAAAATATTACGATATTCATCTTCAATTTTATTCAAATTATTTAGTCAAAAAACAGAAAAATACTGTGTGTCATACAGAGGAGAAGTATATTCTGTGCACTTTTTCTTGAGTTCCAGAATCCTTTCCTATCCCTTTTAATTTACAAAGCATGGTTAGAAACATTTGAAAAACAATTTTTTTTTTGTTCTGTAGTAATAATCAAGAATTATTTATTTCATTGGTAAATGAACATTAGATTTGATTTCATTATATTGTTAACAAAATACCAAACCACTCCTCCGGCTCTACTCCTTCCCCAACTAACAAAAGAAGAATTCAATACAAAGTGCACATAAGTGAAGCTACATTTATGACCACAAGCAAAACAAGGGGCTATTTCAAAATTTGTTCAATGGATCAGGTAAAATGGATGAAATGTCACCTGGCTAAGTTCACCAAAATGTCAACTAAAACAGAACAAGATGATAAACAGAATTGCCAAAAATTCGGTAATATTTCAAATGCATTGGAAATATAGAAGAATGAAGCATTACCTTAGAAACTGTAACTAAAAATTATATTACATCAGTATTTTAAAGAATCCTAAAAAATATTAAATTCTCTGAATATCAACAAAATAAATCAGTAAATAAAGGAAACAAGATATAATGAAACCTCAAAGCATTAAAAATTACTGCCTTTGTCATAATGTTAATAATGATTTGTTTCTTGTGCATCTTGTTTCCAGAGTTTTTCTAAGTATATAATCTCTTTCTTGACTTTCAGGCAGTTTTATGCTATTGGCTATCGTCAAATGTTATATCTTTAATACAAGTGGGTTTGCTACGAGTCCCTGCTGTCAGAGAACTCGCTAAAATAGAACCATTAATACGTCATGACCCTGACAGTCTACCAAGTAAACCCAAAGGGTTTGTGGAAGGATTTAAAGACTGTAAGTATATCATGCAATTACTTCCACTAAGAACAGAACTGGTCCATTTAGTTTTAAAAAAATCCTTAACTCAGACAAAAAAGAAAATTGTTTGGTTTCTTTATTTTATGTCCGTATTTGTTTATAGACAGTCAATTTTCATCACATGGGCATTTTGCAGTTTTAAAACTCAGATACTTGTGTTTAAAACTTTTGCTGTTACACGTTTGAAGAACACATTTTGTCTCCTTCTTCAAGTGTCTGTGAAAATTATAATATATTATTTTAAAGTTATTAATATCATTCTTTCCTGACATTGTTTTCACTTTCATTAATTTTTTTTATTAATATTTATAATTAAATTTGCAACAAAATTGTTGTACTAATACAAAGTGTATATGACTACTTATATGTATTGCATTAGCAAAATAGTGAACTTGTAAAAGAGTAAGTTGGCTGTATTTCACTTCAACAATCTTGTGTTCACTAAAGAGACACAGTATTCCCTCAGTGCTTTGCCCATGGTTCTGCGATTTGCTTGAACACAGTGATGGTGCCACGTTTTAGGAGCAGGTGAGGGAGGTGGAGGGGGGAGAAGAGAAGAAGGTTGTGACAATCTCATTAGCATTTTTTTCGTCCCACAGATGGTGTTGTCCGTTGTGGATATTCAGTTAGTTTAGAACATTGTGTTTGCATTTTGATATTTATTGTTTCTGACAGTTGTCTCACTCTCTTTATCGGTTTTCTATCAGAAATTTGTATCTTATTATAGTAAATTTTATGAAAGATTTTATTTGGTGCTTCGTTATGAAGTTTTGCCTTTCAGGTAACTCATTTTTTTTATCTTCATTTATTTTGGTTTGTATTTTCTTGTTGTGTGTCCTATATATTTTAAGTTACAATCCATGCATCCTATTTCATAGACTACATTTGTGCATAAACAAATAAGGAAGGGAAATAAAGAAATCAAACAAAATATAAGAGAGATAATAACAACCAAAATAATTATTGCCCGATTTATAAATTCTATTGTAGATTGTAGTATAATTTTTAATGTAGGGTAACTCATAAAAAAAAGAATTTATTATATAATTAAGAAAATATATAAGAAATAGTAGTTTATGCAATTAGTTTATAATGTTAAGCTTTACATGAGTACAAGGTTTGAAAACAAGCAATGTTTGGAGCGAGTTTTCAAATTTGTACAAATGCAATAAAGCAATATTATAAATGGTGTGCATTTGCTATTTTTTTGTGTTAAAGCATTATAAATTTACCAGAGAATCAATCTTAATTTGGCGAAATAACTTTCTTGAAACGGCTTGGATATTTGACATCTATGTGAGAAAACAGTGGTTGGTGTTCTGTTTTCCTCTGCCTACCCAAGATTCTCTCACTGCGATTAGCTGAATGTGTGATGACGTGATCATTCGTGCCATACAACACACATTTACAAATGATTTCTTGCAAAAAAACATTGTTTATAATGCTGGTATAAAAAAAAAAATTGTTTGAAATGGGAGTCAAACACTAAATTGTTCTGCTAGCAAAAATAAGATTTGAACTTATCATTCTCAAAGAAAGTTTGCCAATGAGCAAATGTGTGCAATTAAAACATTCACGTGGAATGTGTTGCTTCTTCCGCCAACAATTAATTTAAGAGATTATTTCCATACTCCTTGGAACCCAAATGATCAGAAAGAGAAAGTATTCACGTTCAGCCTCACAGTTCAGGATAGGATTCATCTGGTTTTGGATACCAATTACATAGAAGAAACACAATTTTTGAATGCAATATTTTGTCATCGCGATGAAGAAGCATCTTAAGAGAATATTGATAAGTAGATCTACGCAAGGATAGAAATGGTGATAGGAGACATTCGATATAAGCTCTTCAAGACACTACTCTTCCAATTGTAATGCTCGAGATTTTTGGATTAACTTTATAAACAAACCAAATTTTAGTAAAAATGTGTTTTTCTTTTCTTGTTTTTTTTTCTCTCTCTCTCTATTAGAATAACAAACCTTTTCTCAAAATTAAGTTCAATCAAATAATTTTATTGTATTTAAAAACTGTTTCAAACCACATAGTAAATATCTGCCAAAGTACTGAAGGCTACATTCCTGTCTATTCTTTGAATTGTAGCACTGCACAAACATGCTATAGGCAAGGTAAAAAAAACGTGAGGACTCAAAGGTAAGTATTGCTGTTGTCTGTACAGTAATACTAATTCTGCGGTCCTAAAGTTTCAACTTCCAACAGTTACTGGTGTTGGTGTGGGGGAAAGTTCCAGTTTCTGTGTGCTCTGATCAAAAACTTTTCTGTGGCTTCTCTGATTAATATCAGGAGAATGCCTTAGCATTACCTTTCCAAATGGACTGTGCAAGATCTTTCCTTTCTCATCCTTGTCCCTTCCTCTCCCCTTATCCCCCCCCCCCCACGTACACACACACCCTTATATGCCGCCCTTAAATGCATCCAGAGTGGCCACTTTCTAGAAAACTGGAAAAAATCAAGGAAATTCGTTGTTCTGGAAAAGTAAGGGAATTTGTACAACAATTGTGAGAAGGGCCAAATTTTGAGAGGATTGTAAAACTAGATATTATTCCTTATAAATATAAATGTAGCGTTATTGTTTGTTCAGTTTTTATTTGGTGAGAAAATATTGTTAATTTGTTCTTTTCAAATTTGTCAAAATGAGAGAGCTGAACAATTAGGTAATCAGAGTATTTTAAAATTTTTCTTTAAGTAGTGTGAAATTAGTGTGTCAGTAAAAACGTAAAAATATTCACTGGAAAAAGTTAGGGAATGGGTTTAGCTGAGTAAGGCAGTGAAAAGTGCACCCAAACCAAACCGAAATTCGTGCTGCTCATATGAAAGAGAACACAAACAGTCGTAGATTTGCAAACAAATCAATCTCCTCAGGCAATGTGTTGCAGACACAATGAGAAACATGTTTTTCATGCTTTATTTTTTTCTCAGCTTGTATTACATGTATCAGACTGAAGAAATTACCGTGGACATATAGTTGCATTTGGAGGTATTATTGTCAACTAATTTTGATGCCAAATACAAATACAAAAAATAAATAAATTTTTAAAATTGATTTTTGACATGATAACGTTAGAGTACTGTCTCAGTTTTTCTCCCTAAATGTCTTTTATAACATTTTGTAACATATTTTTTTTTCTTCATATTTTTAAACAATGTGGACGATATTGAAAAACAATTGAAATCAATTTTATCAGTTTAAAAATTTAAAATTAGCACCAAAATGTGATTGAAAAACAATTTTTCACAATGTTTAAACAATTTATATTTAAAGTATAAAGTCGTAGATTATTACTTTAAATATAAAAGTCATCAGCATGATGTACAACTTTTTGTTGACAAATATTTGTTTATATAAACAGTATTTATGCTGTCGAAATAAAATCATCAAACCCCTCTTGGGTTTATATTATATCTGATGTAAATTAAATTACTTGGTTTTCAATATATGAATCATTCATGTTTATAATTCAAATCAAATTACTCAGTCGTAGATTATTAATTATTGACAGTTTTTTGTGAACCTACGGCATTTTGTATTCTCTTTCATGAGCATCACTAATATCGATTTGGTTTGGGGGCACTTTCCACCACCTTATCTGACTATATCCTTTGTCCCAATCAATGAGTGGCCACCCTGGCATTGCCAGAGGGCACACTACTCAAGCCCATGTGTAGGTCAGTGCCGAATCTCAGGGTATGGATGTTGCCACTTCCCAATATATAACATGCATCGCTTGCAGAACTAACGGCTTTAGTAGTTAAGGCTCCTGGAATCACCAAATAATCAATAAGCCTGTGATAAACAAATTTCTTTAGCTATAAGTGGTGAGTAAAGTGTTAAATACTCGGCTTACTTTCATTCTTCTAGAGAGAATATTAGCACACGCTTCTTGAAAGATTTCAATCTTGAGTGAATGAATGTGTTTCATAAAGGGGCGTATATTGTATTTCAACTAGTCTGTTAACTCTCAGTCCTTCTTCTTACAGCTTTCACAAATATGAAGATCACTCGTGAGATGGAAGAAAGAGAAAGGTATGATGAAATGCAATTCAGGAGAGCAGGAACTGCTCCACTTAGAAAAACATTTAAGTATGATCCAACATTACCAAGTAATGCTGTTTCAGCTAAGAAAAGAAGTACTTGAAAACAGCAAATTGTTTAGATGTAGGTAAATGTACATAAACATCTTGTGACATAGTGAATTTATGTAATAAATGTTTGTATGAAAATATGTTTATAATGTATTCTTATGTTGTAGTGTAACAATGATCTTCCCAAATTATATCATGTAAATGTGTTGTATAGTCATAATATTGGACTCCTGGATAAACGGGTTACTGTTGGAATATTTTTGATAATCATTAAATTAGTCTAGTTTATTTATTCTGTAATAGGATGATTTGCATTTTTGACTTATCTGATACTATTCATTAGTTTCCCTTGACAAAAATATCAGTTGGGTACCATTCATTAATTAGCAAATATTTTGCTCTCCTGATTTCAGAAATAGTTACAAATTTCGTTCGATACTAATTCTTTATAACCAACGCATTCAAGTAACTTCAGTAAATTTCTTCATAAATTATAAGAGATCTTATCAGTTACAATGTAATCCCAAACTTTTAAATAAGATGTGAAAAAATCCTTGACAATTCAAATTTGATAAATATTACATTCTCACATATATTTAGAGAATGGATTTCTATGATTTTACAAATTTTTTTCCATTGCTTCAGGGTGTAGCTAAGTAAAAATTCTTGACACACGATTGGAATTGGGTAGCATTATATTTATTAATATGTTTGTGCATATTCATGTAATTATAAGGTCATATTTTGCATATTTCGTTAAAGTAGAGACTTTTCTCGTAAACATTTCAACATTTTATACGATCTACTTATTTGTGAGTATTCATTAATAACACAAAACGTGTCGCAGTTTTCGATTTTTACTTTACCGTTATACGGAATAATATACGTAGTATAGGGAAAGGTATGTAATGCTACGGAAAATTGATATCAACGGAAATACGTGTTTTGGGGTCCCTAGATACAGAAAAGGTTTTGTTTCTTTTTTTTCAAAACATCTGTCAGTCAGTCTGTCTATGGACACCACAAGCACCTAAACCAACCGTAGGATTTTTTCCAAATTGAAGAAACCCCAGTCCATCTGACTGAAGTCGAATCTTTGAAATTTTGAAAATCTTCTTTAAAATTTAGAGGTTCTTTACATTAAGCCCCCAGACATTTTCAAAATTTTCTCATAAACGGCTCCAAATTTTTTCTTTAAATTTCTTGTACGAGTAGAGTAAAATACTCTTATAAAGATGGCATAGGTTCGATTTTTACGGTTTACTCTGAATTTTCCAAAATTTCAAAAGTTAGAATAATTTCCAACGTCGTCCTACTACTACCAAATTGAAGATAAGAGATTTTTCCTTACAATAAAATTTATTGCTCATAATCACTTCTTTCAAAAAGGTCATATATGTTCTTTTGAAAATTTTAGTATTTTTCAAGCAATATTTGCAATTTTAAAGAATTAAAAACAAGATTTTCTGAAAAAATGGCTCCAAATTTTTTCTTTAAACTTTCAGTAGTGATAGTGCTAAATGCACACATTAAGTTACATAAATGCCATATTGCTTTATTCTTTTGTTTTCTCCAAAATTATAAAAATGTAATTTTTTGACTTGTCTCTCCAGTTGTTAATATTTACATTAGCGACAATTGGTTCACATTATTGTGTTTATGAGTATATGTGCTTTTAATAATGCCAGGTTAAAATCCTCGAAAATTCAACCATTTTCTGTAAAAACGAGTTCAAAATTCTGCATATTGAAGAATGATCAAATGCCATTTTCTCGAAAATGGCTCCAAATTTTTTTTTTCTCTTTCCAACAGATAGTGCTATTTGTTGTTTAATATGTCAAAAAGTTCATTTTGCTGATTTTTTTGTTTTATCAAAAATCATACAAATGTATTTTTTTTGAAATATCTCTAGCGCCATTATTATACACATTTCCATCGATCTGTATTATTGCATTTGTGACTAAGTGCTTGAAATGCTTCATATGAATTTTTTTGAAAACTCACAGTTTTCTGTGCAAAGAGGTTCAAATTTCACATTCACAGTACTATTTAAACACAATTTTCTTAAGAAAGGCTCCAAATTTTCGATGAAAAGTTTAATATAGGTTGAAGTTTTGCTCTTCTTTAACATTTTTAAATTTATAATTCGATTCTACTATTAGGAACATGAAAAATTAAGAAAGTTTTTTAAAAATGTAGTTTGGGCGGTAATAGATGGCGGCTGGCAAGAGAATGTGGCATGTCCAAATTCCTAATGTAGACCAAAGGAAATAGTAAACTAATATGGGAAAGTATGCCGTTCTATAGCACCACTAGTTTCCTTTTCTGTAGATGATAAAATACTTGTGCAAATGTAGGAAATTTCTTGATATATTTTTTTTAAACCAGGCAAAAGAAAAGCAATAAGACATGCAATGTACTTCACTAAGGGGAATATTTACTTCTATCATTTCTCCTGCAAAGGAAGGTAGATTATAGTCTTTTTGCCCAAAAATATATCTTTTCATTCCAAGCATACTTTTCCTGAATTTTATGAAGAAAGGTTAAAGCCGGAAATGAAATATTTTTAATTTTTATTGCATATTAAAGAGCAAATTTGAACATTTTTGGTCATAATTGCATATTTTTAAAACGCATGTTTCAAGATGTTTCTAGGGCATAAAATTCCTATCCCTACATATTACAATGTGGTATAAAAAAAAGTATGGTAATTCTGCAGTAAAAAGCAACAATTGTTTCACAGAAAAACTTATTTCATCGTTATATGGAGAAGTATGGGCATATGGGGTACATATGGGCCATATTAAAACAAGATTTTCTCAAAAAGATCAAGAATGGCTCCAAATATTTTCTTTAAACATTTTGTACAGATATTTCTAAATGCACTGAATAACATGATATAAATCCACTTTTGATGTATTCTTTTGTGTTTTCAAAAATTCGACAAATGTAGTTTTTTATATATCTCTTGCATCTTTATTACTATTTACAATTCTGATGCTTTTAATATATAATTGTATTTCAAGTTCAGTTGCTGTAAATGCTTTTGAATGAAGATTCTGAAAAACTTAAAAGTTTTCTGTGAAAATAAGCTAAAAATTGCTTATTTTTAGAAACACTGAAATGACATTTTCTCAAAAATGGCTCCAAAATTTTCAATGAAAATTTGCATATAGGTTTTATTATTCTGTAGTGTTCTCAAAGTCATATTTCAATTCTTTTATTAGTGGTCTGAAAACTTGAGAAATGTGAAAAAAATGTATGTTGTTAGATAACTCTATTTCCTCAATATAAAATTTTCAAGAAAGTAAATTAAACCATTGTGTTAACTGACAAATGTTAGTGTGTGCGATGTTGAAAAGTGTGTTTGCATTGTTGCTGAGGAAACTAATAGATTCAAAGTTATTCAGACGTACAAATTCATTGTGACACATTAAAGGCTGCACGTGTGTAAAAAGGTCAGTTTCAGTTATATTATTGGTTTTATCAATTTATTATATTTCAAAGGGGTATCTCATTTACAATTAGTATGGTCAAGCCTGATTCAGCTTCATGAGATGGACTTGGAGCAGGTGAGCCATGTACCTGGGCACTATGGCTGTGAGTTTGAGACCCACATAAGAAAATGTTTTCAGTTGGTTTTGAGGTGTGGGGGGCATTCTGTATCAATCATGTATTACATCTTCAGCACAATCCTTCCATTTTCTCTTGGCCTGACATATAACTGGGTGCACTATACACCGGTGTTAGTGAAATTGCAACACCAAGAGACATGCTATTACAATGAAATTTATTCCACATATTAGGAATATCACAATATACAAATAAATAGAAATACAGAACTGTATCTCAATGTTGACCTTGAGTATTTAGTACAATGTGAAGCCGCCACGCGATCACGCTCTGCCATCAGAGCCTGTAGATGTCGCGGCATGCATTCAAAGAGAGACTAGATATGCTGCTGGGTACACATTGCCACGCGGTTTAAATGCGTGACCACGATGCATCGACAGTGGCTGCAGGAGGACCAGAACAGACCAGTTGCCGACCGATCACACCCCAGACATGTTCGATGGAGCTGCTTGTAGGAGGACCAGTACCTCGGGTTCTAAAACCTTCCTGATGTAGCGGTTGCTGTTCAGATTGCCCTCGATACGAATGAGGTGAGATCGCACATTGTGGACAATGGCGCCCCAAACCATCGCACTTGGTGTTTGTCCACTATAGCGTAGAACAATGCTTGTTGGCCTATTGCGATCACCAGGAAAGCGTCGAACACGCACGCAGCCATTGCCGTACCCCAAATTGAACCGGATTCGTCCGAAAACACCGCATTTTGCCATTAGCACACCAGCGAACATGTTCACGCGCTCATTGCTGTCTGAGGCGTCGATGGTTTCTGTCAACGGAATCCGACGCAGTGGTATGCGTGCCACCAATTCCAACCCTCAGCAGAAGGCGTCGAACCGTCGACGCAGATATAGCCACACCCGCTGCAGTGCTCCGAAGTCGAGCCAACACTGTGGACAACGGCGTGCTGTTGGTTACGGCTTTGCGGACAAGGTGGCTATCATCTCCATTGTGTGGTCCAGAACCAGCAGTGCACCACCTTTCCTCTATCCACTGGTTCCACGTACGCAGTACTGTCATAGCAGCGCGCTCCGTTTGATCCGCAATGTCACGGTAGGACAAACGCGCTTCCCGGAGACCGATCATCTGCACCGTTCGATCTCATTTCGATGCTGGTATTGACGCCCTTTGACGTCGACGAGGCATACCGGCACCTGCTTGCACATTTCCATGTTTGAAGGCTTGCACCGACTGAATGTGACGTCATACTGACTTGTCGCACAAAGGAGAGCGCTACTAGGCCAACGTGCGCACCATCTCTATGCAAATTTTATAATTTTTAATGGATACACTGTTCCACACATTCACCGATTTGTATGTGATTCGTATCATTCTTTCTGGGTGTTGAGTGGGAAATGGTCATCTGGTTCTTCCATTTAAAGGTTGTGTTCATCCTAGCCAGCCACCAATCCTAGTATTCCCTTGGGTATTCTCATAGATATTCCATTTCCATTCATCTTTATAGAATTGTGGAAGAATTAAGATGTGGTTAAGTTATTCCTCTAATATGTATATTTCTAGTTTGTCAATACTATTATTAGAGAAATTCTGAATTTGAGAAATGCATCTGTAATGAATGACCAGGAGGTCCTAAGATTTGAGTTCTGGCCATGGCATATTTTTGGTACACTCTAGGGACACTCTAAGTCTACTTCAGATATCTGGAGGAGAATTCTAGGAGCTAGCTTGTGGTTTCTCCAACCAATTCCAGATAAATACCAGAGCAGAACCTTAACAAACAGGCCACACTTGATCTTCCTTTCTTCTTACATGCTCTACAATGCCACTTGTCAGGAGCAAGCATGTCATGGCTGGGGTGAAAATGAAATACATTTGATTCAGTCTAGTCCATTGTTAAGTTCATTACTAAAGTAAAGTAAATACTGTTGTGTTGTTTTACAAGTGGCTGAAAGAAATCATTATGTGCAAGTTGGTGGTTTTAGCCATGTATGGTTTTATCTTATCTGATCACCTTTTTAACAAACCTGAAAAAGTTAAGATTGAGAATGTGCAAATTTTAAGGAAAAGACAACTTGCAATGTATGCGACAATCGGATGACATATTTTACTAAGAAAGAAAATATCAGTGCAAAAATAGCTTTGAATATAAGGAGGTAAAGTATTATTCAATGCTGTAGTGTATTTAGTAACGGTAAGTACATTTCTTTCTTTATGAATAGAGTAGTGTTGGTATGAGCACCATTCCGCCAGGTTGATGTTGCTAAGCAACCTCTATTTGTTGGTTGAGCTTAACTCTGAGCTCAAAAGTAACCATAAATTTGGAATAAATAAGAGAAGATAAATTGCTAAGACATTTTGTAGTTCAGGCAGCCCTACATTCTTAGGTAACAAAGCCTTAGGGTCTCCCCAATTTTTCTGCTGAACAGAGAACCATGTCCTATCTCTTACATTGTATTTACTTTCAATCACTCGCCCCTCTTCGAATTTTTCTCTCTCCAGGTAGAAGGGGTAATTTAAGGTACTATCAAACTCCAACAGGAGGAAGTCCTATTTTCCATTTTTTGTTGATGGTGAATTGGAAAATTTTACTGAACAATTCAGAAACAAGTATTCTGTCCTGGCAATTAGGTTAATGTGTCATTAAAATGTACATTTAAGTGAACTTTGAATGAAATTATAACTTAAAATTAAAGAAATTGTAGTATAATTAGAATTACGGCCGTTACACACAAGTGTATTGTCACACATCGTAGCAAAATACAGTATCTTATGTGAAATGGCTCATAACAGTTTCAGCCGTTCCACATAAGATACAATGTTAATCTATGATTCGCGTTACTTATTGTGTGTCAACGCAACTCCTGTGACACAGACCTTAACCACTCATCGAAATGTTTCACGATAATCAGACACCTAATGAGAGGAGAAACACAGACTCGACTGGTGAAAATAAATCACAAAACCTCCAACATAAGAAAGCGTCTTCTGAGCATGCCACTGCTCATCACAATAAATTTCAAAAGTTACCTTTTAATGAGAACAAAAAACTATGGACATTTTAATGATGCTCAGACTATAAAGTTTGTTCTTCCACCTTAAATCCAACTGTCTACTAAAATTGGTTCATGCCTTTTATTACTGTACAGTAAACATTCAGAAGGTGGAGTACCATTTTAGCTAATTGACTCCTACAGTAGAAAATAATCCATATACAGTAGATAAACAATCCATTTCTTAGAAACTTTGTAACAGCATTTCATAAGATCACTATTCGTTTGCCACTTGCTTCTTTCAATGGCACACATTCAGTAGTGATGAAAACAGGCGTGAACAGAAGACTCCCATTAAAACTTGCTTCGGTTTCAGAATACAATTATTTTGCAATTCATTCCCATTTTTCAGTTTCTAGGTCTAATATTAAAGTACACCTTGTAATTAAATATAGTTCTGAATCCAAAATCCTGTTTTTCTGTTTTACAGAGTAATTTTGGGTTAATAAAATAAACGTATTTTGGTATCATGTTGTAAGTAATTACACCACTTTCAGTACTACAACTTAAAAATGCAAAAGAAAAAAGTAAGTTCAATGTCAGTAAATCATGGAAATTTGTTGTTACATCTATTATGATTCCCAAAGATAACATTTTACTTACCAGATTTCCATTAAAACATTGAAAGGAAATACTTTATTTGACAATTTTTTAAATATTGAAATATTTTAATTATTCTTAACATGATTTTTCACATTACAAATTTTGTTTACAGAACACATTAGAGTTGAGAATAATATAATAATTAGTCACTAGTTTTTGTCATTTCCTACAGATGGTGATCTTGGTGATAACATTTTACGGAGTTTCTGAAGTTGATGTTGCTTATTTTGGGGTTGTGAACGAGAATATTGCTGAGATGAAGGCTTTGATTGCCGAGGCAATATCTTTTCTGTTCGTTTGAAAGGACTTTGTGACTGTGAGGGTTCAGGTTTGGTGACTTTCGCAGGAGCTGGTACCACATCCTTTTCACTTTTGCTTGGAGTTGTATTATTGGGTTTGGGTGAAGATCGTGAACTTGAAGGTATCTTCTTTAATACTTTAGTGCAACTTGCACAATACCAAGCTGATCGAGGATCATTCATGTCATCCGGTACCGGAGGATTATGACATTCTTGATGATAGAGGGAATGACATTCTAAGCATTCAACTAACTGATTACGAACACCAACGTCCATTCCATGACATACGACACATGTCAAATCTTCTTCCAAAATTTCAAGGGCAAGATCATCATGGTCATCATCTTCCTTTACTTCCTCTTTAACATCCACATCAGACAAAAAGGATTTAGCAGGAGACAGAGGTGATGTGGGAGTAGAAGAGCTTGATTTTAGGTGGCTGGTTTTGGGAAGTTCGGTTTTGCTCTTCTTAGAAGTTTCTCTACTACTGCCTGCTGATTCTTCAAAAGTATGTTTCTCTGATTCCCTCTTCAATTCATCCTTTCTTCCATTCGATCCAGATGAATGTTTTTCCTTCTTGCTTGTACTAACCTCCCTTTTCTGAAGGGAAGCAATGCTTTTCGTATTTCCATTCCGTTGCCTTATTAAGTCCTCTAACATTTGGCGTAACTGTTCTTCAGATTCTTTTGATTTCGAGTGCATAAGTCGAAGACATTTAATGTAACCTGGATCAATTTCCAACGATGCCATCACAAAACAGAAAAATTACGCTTTGTCAAAATAATGTTCGTTTCGTGAAGAAAAAGTAATGTTGCAGTAATATATGTACATATATCACAGGGCACAAGAATACACTAGCTGATTAAGAAATTGAAGCTTCGCAGTACAGTGTCATTACCGAAGACTTAAGACAGCTGACGGGCCAATTCTAAGAATACACTAAATATTTAAAAAATCACAATCATCTATCTTTTAATTACAGTTCTTGAGTAACACAATCCACGATTGTAACCCGTGTATAATTATTCATTCAGAGAAATTTCCACTGCATTTCTACATCAACCTAGTGTGGATAGTATACAGCTAAAGGATACTATATCGATACTACATGTTTATATCGTTAGTACTCTTTGGTATATAGGAGAGAGCCTAAAGCCTGAGCATGCAGGCAAACATGCCAATGTCTTGGAAATTGCTCCTGCAGCCATTCAAGAACATTTTTCTTTAAATTTTCTGCTCAATGGCTCACGAAGAGTTGTTAATACTCTTCTCGTATCTTGTTCGACAGGAGATACTACTCCAAACATCTGTATTCTCTGCCCTTATGCTCTCTGAATCGCACAATTGGATAAGCATTAGTTGGCAATTGTTCACATGTTCCAAAAAGGAAGTGTCACCAATATGAGATCAAAAAATGATTCATTTTATATCTCATTCATGAACATTTTCTACGTCTCAGATTCCGAAGTACCTTTGTTTTTCAAAGATACAAATATTTGAAAATCTCTAAAATACGAATGTAATGTATCTCGAAAGATATCACGAAAACGGTAAAACAGATGACAAGTGACAGGCGATATCAAAGTGAAATTCGAGAAAACGCGGGATGTGTTGATTCTTGTATGTATTTGATACTTGCATGTGGACCAGATGTAGACCGATGTAGACTGTGTGACAACTGACAGCTGTTTAAAGCCTCAGTATTTTTATGTCTACAGTATTTAGAGTATTTCATAATTATTACAAAAAAAGTGCGAAAGTGGAGGTTCGTTATGTGTACTCGTTAATGAAAGAATTCGGTAAATGTGAACCGGGTTACAATCATTTCACAATTTTATTAGGCGTGTAGGAGTACTATTGAAGCGAGAATTTGTCTATTATTTATATTAGCAATTTCGTAATGGAAACTAGTGAATCAGAAATAGTTGAAGCTGACGTAATAACTCATACAGAAAATGAACAAGATGAAAATGGGGAATCGTCCGAAAACCCTGTACGAGAAGCCGAGAAACCAGAAAAGCTCTTTAAACTTCCACTCTCCAGAATTAAACACATCATGAAAATGGATCCTGATACGAAACATTCTACTCAGGAAGCAGCTTTTCTGATAGCCAAAGCAACAGTCTGTACTGTTATCACACGAGTACTGTACTTATTATAATATTTGTATTCATAATTATTAATGATATGCTGTTAAATATTTGTTACAGGAATTGTTCTTGGGATCTCTTGCAACCGAGGCGTACAAGCAAGCATCTCAAGCAAAACGAAAAACAATTCAAAAGAAAGATATTGATTCTGCAATTAATTGTATTGACAGCTTGGCATTTTTAGAAGGAGTATTGGAATAAAAGGTATGTCATGGTGATACTGTAGTATGTCACATGACATACTACAGGAAAATCCGTCTAAACCGGAACGTGTAGTAGCCAGAAAAATGTCTTAACCGGAAAATTTCACTGGCTTTTGAAGTTATATGGTATTTTACTGAGCATAAAACGGAATGTACCTAACACAGAAACGGAACAGTTTTTCATGTTCTATAATGGGGGAAAATTTTTCTTAAAGAAAATTCCTGTAAATTTAATGCGATTGGCAGAGACATGAGATATTCTTAATGTAATGAATGCATCTGCAAGTCTGTTTTAAATTGTGTGTGTGTAATTTAGTCATGGCAAATACACTGTAAAGAAAAGGGACTTCAGCTGACAGTGTAAATCGACCTTGAGGTACTTGTCTCCTCAGGCATAAGGGCCATTGGGAATTCCCCCCCCCCCCCTCCTCTGAGCATGGGAATGTGTACGGGCATGGCATTCATGCCTGTCTCTGTCTCACCTTCAAAACCATAACCTCTCGGCAAGAGACGCATTGCTCAAGGCCATGCGAAAATCATAGTACTCTGAGCTGTGACGCATTGTGTGTTGAAAGAGCCGGCGAGCAATTCGATTTCAGCCATTAGGCAGTAAGGTGGTGTGTATCTTTATGACTTTCACAAAGAATTTAACAATGTGAAAACCATAAAACGCTAATAATCTCTAATATTAGATGAAAAGGTCAAACTCTTGGAAGCGAGAGAAACTCAGAAGCTGTCAATGAAGAATGTTTAATATTCATTTATTGGTGATTTCTTCCATAAATATGTTGTATGTATATTTATTTTAACAATCATAATAAAATCATGTAATTTTTCTTTACTTTAATTACTTCTTTACTTACATTAATTTACTTTGACTGGAAATATCAAAATCACTAGTGTCGTTGAATGGACAATCCTGCTGAAAATGGAAACTTCCCATAACTGGAACTTTTTTGTTGTCCTGATCGATTCTGACTTAGACAGATTTTACTGTACAATAATTCTTTTTCGTTCTGAGAATTTTTATTAGCCACATATACGAACTAATAGATAATAATTTTTTTAAATTCTAGTTTTATAATTTTCAAAGACCCAAGTGTCATCGAGTTCAGTATGTTATGGATATTTTATATTAGTCATAATTCTTCAATATATAATTGTATAATATAAAGTGTTCAGAGTGCATTTTTTGTGATAATTTTGTGGCTTCAAAATCTTCAAAGGGATTGTTTGAAAGGTTTTAATCTCAATTTCCAGCGAATACTTGCAAGTGAAAGTGTGAAATCTCAGGGAGTTGCCAATTCTGTTGCGTAGATTTTTCTGTTTACAAAAAATGCCCAATGCTTGTTTGTGTAGATGAGTTTACATAGTTTTAGTTGCATATGTTTCAAAACTAGACAAGTGTGCTTTTTGTTATGTAAGGTTGCATCAACTTCTAGGTCATTAGCAGCCTCTATTGCTTGTAACAGTATCATAACTGTGAGGATGACATGATATGATTGATGATAGGGGGTGAAAGGCTGAACACAATACAACCATGCTCGAGGTAGGACTCGAACCCGTGATCCTTTGGTCTGAGATCACTACGGCACTACTGCTTTAGCGATCTCGGCCATGTGGACAATTTTATTAAATGTATAAAAGCTGAAACTTTATTCGTTCCGAAGGATCACATATCTTCTCTCAGCAAGTGTCGAGATTTTTGATATCACGAAATGCACTCGCAAACTAATTCATTCCAGTGGAAATACACCAATGCAGAGTTTACACTTGTACTTTTATGAATTGATCAATACACACTATAGAGGCTGAGTAATTAATTTTTCTAATCTGAAAATTTTTCCAGAAAATATATACCCCACAAAACTGACAACGTATCAAAATAATGAGTGCTCTTTACAGTTAATAAGAAAGTAAACTTCATGTGAATTAATGTTATGTTAGACAATTTTCTTGTCTTGTGGTTTTAATTAATTTTATTTTCTGTTATGTTTTCTTTTTCAATTGTACACAAGAACTTTGTTTTTAGTGTCTCCGATTAATGTTTTATTATCTTTTCATTTGTTATTTATGTAAAATTTTGAAGGTGAAGTGTTGTTAGTTATTTAATCATCATGTTTTAACAAATGTTTCAGATGGCATTTTGGACAACGAAGATGAATGATTGCACAAGTTAATATTGTACAGTAACTCAATCCCAAGTACATTTTTTAAGTCATGTGAGAAAATTTCGTTGTGGTAACAATGAAGTTCACTATAGACATGTTCTACAGCATGCATTCTGTGATTTCAAGATAAATACTTTATTACAATGTTGCAGTTGTCATTACTTTTATATCAAAGACAACTGACAAGTGTTTGTGTTTTGGTTTGACTTCCATTATTTTCTCATTGTAAAATCAGTTGTGAAAAATATATAATTTTAAAATTTTAAGTTATTATTTTATTGTCAATCCTTTCCTGCTCATTCCCATCATTTAACAAAAGAAAAATCAAACGTCTTCTGAAGTTTTTGAATTAGACAGTCCAAATTAGTTCATCGTATTATGAAAAGGAAATTGGGTTTTGCAAAAACTGTGTTATGAAAAGTATTACATGATAGATTGGTGTATATTAATGGTGCACATGTGTATATAACCATAATTGCAAATAAATTAGGGCCACATAATTCTGTATATTTGAGGTTCAAAATTTATCAATCAATTTTGTCCAAAAACAGCTGTTGTAGTCAAGTACACATACAACTAAGCACCTTTTGAGTTTTGTAATTGAACATAATACGTCACATAACTCTCAATTTCTCAAAAGGGCAAATAAAAACCATGGTTGTATCATAGAAGTGTATATTGGGAACATTTTAGTCTCAATTTTACACCTGACATTAAATTGATATTATCACATTCTCCTGACAAAGTAGACCTATTGCTAGAGTGGAATTGCAATTACTCATATTATAATTCCGCATCTCATTGCCTGATGTGATTATGCTCACACGTTACAGAAAATAAATATACTCTATTAACCAACAAAATTCCCTGATTTTGCCTAATCACAGATGAGCCAAGCGGCTAAGTAACGTGATGCTGCGCTGTAGACAGTTGTGTCCGCGAAGCGCTATGCAACTTTAAATAAATATTGTGTTGTAAACTGATAATAATGAATGAAAAAATAATTATTCTACAAGACAACTTCGAACTATTGCTTTTATTTCAGAGATAATCTTAAGTTATTGATTATGAAAACGGGCTTATTTTGGCAGATGTTCGCTTGACCTGCTTGTTGACAACACAGTTGACAAAATGGCTTCTGGAGTGTTAGGTGGATGGTTCTAACATCTGCAATTTTGTTCGTTCGGTTTATTTACATTTGGTGGAATGCATGTTGAATGGAGCAA